AAATGAATAAGCCTCAGGCTGAAGGGAAAGTAAATTTACATCCGTACAGTAGAATGCAGAAGAAGAAGTTTCAACACACTTCAGCAATAAAAAAAGACACAAATGTTTGTCTAGAGTAATTTTTGCTTATTAGTATGGTTGAACAGGATCATCGAAGGTCAGAAGCAAAGACATTGGTTAATAGAATGGGATTAAATACATAAAGAATATTTGTGTTGTTTAACATTTAATTATTGCAGGTTTGCGTCATATTCTGAGTTGCATTATTTTTATTAATTTTGAGGAATACTGAATCTGTTTTTTTTTGAGAGTGAGATGAATTAATGCATATTCATATTTATTAACTACAGTAACATCTTCTGATTTCTGTCACCATGGGGACAGGAGAGCTGTCAATCAATAAATTGGAAAAAAAAAGTAACTTGCGTTACTTATTTGAAAAAGTAACTCAGATATTCTCTTGTAAATGAAAAAGTAATGCGTTACTTTACTAGTTACTTGAAAAAAAGTAATCCCATTACAAGTAACTCACGTTACTTGTAATGTGTTACCCCCAACACTGCCGATGACCCCTTTAAGAAATGTGCAATGTGCACAAATAGTACTCCAAATAAAGTTAAATTATCAATGTGTTATATCAGTAAGTCTCAAGCTATATGTCAGTAAATGTTAATAGATTTGAACTATACTTAGTATGAATTAAATGCATTTTAATTATATTAATTTTTTTACTACAGGAAACATAATATCTAGAAATATGTTTAAAGCTATTTAGCTCAGCCTTACACAACAGTGAGTATTTCCCAGGGTTGTAAAGCTTAAACCCATCAACAACTCCTCTGGAGGACAATATTCTCTTTCACTTTTTTTTTTTTGTAGTGATCCAAGTGAAGGAGACATCTGTGTGCTCTAGGCCTGATGGGCCGGATACAGACGGACATTTCTGAATTGCTCTTAAAGTTTTGAGTAACCAGGCCAAGAGCGAAGGACAGGGTGAGAATGAGAAGGAAATGGCCTCTCCAGTGGCCGAGCACAGGAGGCAGGTCATCTCCTCTCTTTCTATAAAGCTCTGTGATTATTCCTCTGGCTGGGAGCAGCTGGTGTGGAACATAAACTTTCTGGTAAATTCCACCAAGCGGCTGCTGATTCACAGGCTTTATCCGCTTTACATAACTACCCCCAGATTACCATCGCTCCCACATTGCTTGTTATTTTCATAAACAGGCTCTGGTGACCGTTCCACTACTGATTGGCCATGTGTTCACAAACACACACAAAGTAGAAATGTGCTGAGATGACAGCAACTGGCTGTGGTCATGGTACATGGGTTGGTTAAAGGAAAAGAGAAGTGACAAGTTGCTCAGGATTTACTGTATGTATAGTTTATGTAATAAGTTTGACCATATAATAGTAATGAGACAATGTCATATACCATGTATTTATATGAAAGGACAGTTTCAACTTGTGCAATAGAATGGAGAAGTTGTGAATCTGTATTTTAACCACTAATATGCTTGTTTTTTTATCTAATCTTTTGCAATAGACTGGCTTGTGTTTGTCATGTATATACTGCGGTTATTTTTCTCATGTTATATTTTTTAATGCGGAAGTAAGCTGTTTTCGGTCAATGACTTCCGGTTCATTAGCCGCTGTAGGG